ATCTCTGCGGAAAGAATGGCGGCTACGCTTTGACCCAACTCAGGGGTGTTCGTGTACATTTAAACATCAGGTGGATTTTGAAGCCGGGATTCTGGGTAGTTGAATGCATATGCCAGGGATCTGTTTTGTTTTGGGCAAGTTATTGGCTAAGTACCGGTAGTATTGATCCCAGGACAAAAATCCTCCCGACAGTGAGAAAGTGGAGACTCTAAGCTAATTCAGAGTCCCTGGCAGCATTTATCTTATTTATTAAAAGGAGAAATCCTCTCCCTTCCTCCCCACCCAATTTTTATTTGAGCTGAACAACTCTACATTGGCGGGGTGGGGTGGGGGTTGAATGGGAAGGGGTGTGTGGGCCTGGCTGGGGAGGCTTTTCCAGGGGTACCCCCAGGCTTGCACAAAGCTTTGTCTGGCTCTGCCCGTTGGTTTCTCTTATTCAGAGCCATTGGGGGAGGGGCGGGGGTCAACCCAGGCATTAACATTAATTAAAATGCCCGCAGCCCAGGTTCCCCGGCCTGGGAAGCTCCCCCCTCCCCACCAGCCCTACACTGGAAACAAAACTAAAGAAAATAGTAGTTTATTCTGTCAACGCTCTTGGAAGGCAAAACAAGGGATGGCCTGGCCGGATCTCCCGGGGCCTTGGGACTTCACTGTTGGCAAAGGAGCAGGAAGGTTAGGAAATCCTAAAATCTGGGAATCGTGGCCTTAGCTTCTGTAAACCACGTGCACGATGAGGCATTTGTCCCATGAGATGCATTTTTGTGCACGTACCCTGGAGAAACGGCCAAGCACTAGGAAAAACAAAGCTGTTTTAAATGCAAGGTGTTTTGCAAAATGATCTTGGCTAGCGGTGATGAGAGCTGTGTCCTTGGATGGGTGGTTCATCCCTGGACCTGTCAGCACCATTTTGGGGAGACTCCACTGCAGGTGTGGTGTCTTCAGGTTAACTGAAGGAAAGCCATTCCCACCCCCTCCACACATACTCACACACACAGACACACACACACCTCATTCTGCAAATCTGTGGCAAGAGGTGAGGGGCCATCTGGTAAACCCTGTACCTCTGAAGATGGGGAAGACAATTCGCTATGTTATGTGCTGACTTTGGGGGCCTCCAAGATTTGGAGTGGTGATTGGCCTGCTCTTGGGGTCTCTGACTGAATCATTTTCTTTTCTCCTGCCTGCCTGTTGGTAGAAAACAGCCCCCCAGCCCTTCCCCGCCATGCCTGGCTAAGAAGCACGTGGCAAAGACACAGACTGTCCGACCATGTCCCCTCAGGAGGCACCACCTGAGTGTGCATAGGCAAAGGGTCTGCCTGAGACAAGTCCCAATCCCTAGAGATGGGGCACCTGCTGCCCCTTCCCTGGGCTGCTCCGCGCTGGTCTATTGTTCCAGAGATCTTCTGATGGGCGGACCACAGGGCTCCACCCGGGGTTCTGGTGGGCGGAAGCCCCTGATGGCCTTGCCCATTGCCTTCTCCTCCCTTCAATTCTCATTCCTCAGGTCCTCACTCCTGCCTCCTGAGGTCACTTCCTCAAAAAGCCACACCCCTTCCTGGTCCCAGCTGCATCATCCTGATGTGACTCCATGTGGTCCCAGCACCGCTGTCCAGGCAGGCCACTGAGGCACAGCTAAAGAATCGTTTGGTGACTCCCATCATTTTATTGTTCAAACCCAGGTGCTCACATGCACTTCTGTGTTTGCTTGCCACAAACTCTCAGAAGCAAATTCTTATTTCTAAATTTGATGGTTTTTAAAAATTTTGGGGCCGGTGCTGTGGTACAGTGGTTTAAAGCCCTGACCTGAAGCACCAGCATCTCATATGGGTGCCGGTTTGAGTCCCAGATGCTCCACTTCCGACCCAGGTCCCTGCTAATTCACCTGGGAAAGCAGTGAAAGATGGCACAAGTGCTTGGGCCCCTGCATCTGCGTGGGAGACCTGGAAGAAGCTCCTGGCTCCTGGCTTTGGATCGGCCCAGCTCTGGCCGTTGTGGCCAATTGGGGAGTGAACTCAGCAATGGAAGACCTCTCTCTCTGTGTCTCTACCTCTGTCTGTAACTCTGTCATTCAAATAAGTAAAATAAATCTTCAAAAAAATTGTATATGTTTAGTGGAGAGCTCCCATCTGCTGGTCCACCACCACTACCACCAAAATGCTAAGAATGGTTTGTACCATGGGTGGGACAGGGCCAGGGGAAGCCAGGAGCTGTGCACTCAATCCAGGTCTCCCACAGGGTAGGCAGGAACTCAGTGACTTGAGCCATAATGGCTGCTTCCCAGGGTCTGCAAGGGCAGGAAGCCGGAGTCAGGAGCTGGAGCCGGATATTGAACCGTGGTATTCTGATGTGGAACACTGGTGCCTCAACCACCAGGCTACACGCTCTACCTCTCTGTAACTCTACCTTTCAAATAAATAGATAATTTTTTTTAAAAGAGTGCATCTCAAGGGAGGCTCAAGTACCAACCGGAGAAGCTGCTGGGATCTTGACCCGTGCACCTGCCACTCTTGCTGCTCCCGTGTGGTGACAAGCACCGCCCTCTCTTGCAGAAACCTGCTTCCTTATAAGCACCCAGACCCACTGTCCTGTAACTCTGGGTCCAGAGACCTCCCCTGATTTCCTTTTAAACAGATCAGAGACAACCAAGTTCTTCTCAACACCTTGAAAATATTCCTCATTCACTGGAAATAGTCACCTCTTCCATGCCTGACCAAAAGACCCTTGTGGCCAGCAGGTTAAGCCACGCTTGCAACACGCCCCCCCCCCCCCCCCCCGTATCAGAGTGTTGGTTCAAGTCCTGGATGCTCCACTTCTGATTCAGCTCCCTGCTGATGAGGTTGGGAAAGCAGTGGAGGATGGCCCCAGTGCTGGGGCCCCTGCACCCACGTGGGAGACCCTGATGGAGTTCCTGGCTTCTGGCTTCAGCCTGGCTCAGCTCTAGCCATTGTAGCCATTTGGGGAGTGAACCAGTGGATGAAAGATTCTCTCTCTCTCTTTCTCTCTCCCTCTCTTTCTCTCTCGGAAGGCTTTGTTCAGGCCCCAGTTCCCTAGCTCAGCTCAGTAGACACCTAGTTCTGTGAGCCCACGTGGGCTGCTCGACATCAAATGCCAGCGTTTGTGGCTGGGGCTCTTCTCAGGGAGTGGTGAGACACTTGCTATGCTCAAAAATGAGTAGGCACAGATGGACTTTTTTTTTTTTTTTTTTTTTTAGACTGAGAATGTTCGTGACGGGGCTGGGTTAGGGGATTCTCTGGGAAACTCCAAACTGTAATGCATTGACTTGTAGCCTTTGGCTTTTTAAAAAATTTTTATTTATTTATTTATTTTTTATTTTTTGACAGGCAGAGTGGACAGTGTGAGAGAGAGACAGAGAGAAAGGTCTTCCTTTTGCCATTGGTTGACCCTCTAATGGCCGCTGCGGCCGGCGCGATGCGGCCAGCGCACCGCGCTGATCTGATGGCAGGAGCCAGGTGCTTATCCTGGCCTCCCATGGGGTGCAGGGCCCAAGCACTTGGGCCATCCTCCACTGCACTCCCTGGCCACAGCAGAGAGCTGGCCTGGAAGAGGGGCAACCAGGACAGAATCCGGCGCCCCGACCGGGACTAGAGCCTGGTGTGCCAGCGTTGCAAGGTGGAGGATTAGCCTAGTGAGCTGCGGCGTTGGCTGACTTGTAGCCTTTGTACAGGGTGCCTCTAACAAGAATTTTGGGGGCTAGTTGCAGGATTGGGTCATTTTCCTTATTTCTCAGTTATGTCATCTTCTCCTCCAAGCCCCTCCCTCCTCTCCAGAACCCAGATGGGGGTCCTGGGGGAACCTCCTGTCTCTTTTGTTAATTCTTATGCTCCTAACCTCCCAGGCTCTGCATGCGCTGAATCACAGTTTGTACTTTTTTTTTTTTTTGACAGGCAGAGTGGACAGTGAGAGAGAGAGACAGGGAGAAAGGTCTTCCTTTTGCCATTGGTTCACCCTCCAATGGCCGCCGCGGCGCTGATCCGATGGCAGGAACCAGGTGCCATGGGGTGCAGGGCCCAAGGACTTGGGCCATCCTCCACTGCACTCCCTGGCCACAGCAGAGAGCTGGCCTAGAAGAGGGGCAACCGGGACAGAATCCGGTGCCCTGACCAGGACTAGAACCCAGTGTGCTGGCACCACTAGGTGGAGGATTAGCCTATTGAGCTGCGGCGCAGGCCAACAGTTTGTACTTTTACATGTGTGCACACATGTGTGTGCTCGCATACATGGTGATGGTGGGGGTGGTAATGGCTTCCTCACCACTATGGTATTCGTATAAATGATCATGATGCAAAGACTTATCCTTTTGGGTATTTTATTCTGATAAATAGGCTGCTTACCTCATTCCTTTAAAATTCTGTTTGGTGCCCTAAACAGCACTCTGGCCTCAGAATCAGACCTTAAGGCATTCGGATCTGGCTAAAAAGCCCATCAGAGTTTCTCAGGCATGGAAAGCCAAGACATTGTGGTAAAAAATGACCTAAATGAAAGATCTCTGTGTATGAGATCTCAGTGGAAAGAAGGGGCCATCAAAGAAGGAGGTACCTTTCCCTGAAGGGAGGAGAGAACTTCCACTTTGCTATGGCCCTGTCAAACTAATGTTGGAGTTTGTGGACTCAAGAGGCTTCGATAGCTTTGGCAGCTCATGACAAGAGCCTTGGGTGATCACTGACATCATAAAAGTGTCAATTATTAAATCAACAATAGGAGTCACTGTGCACTTACTCCCCATGTAGGATCTCTGTCCTTAATGTATTGTACTATGTGAATTAACGGTAAAACTAATCTTCAAACAGTACTTATACTTTGTGTGTCTGTGTGGGTGAAAACTGTTGAAATCTTTACTTAGTATAGAGTTGATTTTCTGTATATAAAGATAACTAAAAATGAATCTTAATGAAGAATGAGATGGGAGAGGGAGTAGGAGTGGGGACAAGAGTGGGGGTGGGAGGGCAGATATGGGGGGAAGAACCACTATATTCCTAAAGAGAGAGAGAGAGGTCTTCCATCTGCTGGTTCACTCCCCAAATGACTGCAATGGCTGGAGCTGGGCCAATCTGAAGCCAGGGGCCAGGAGCTTCTTTTGAGTCTGCCAGGACTCGAACTGGCACCTACATGGGATGCTGGCGCAGCAGGCTGTGGCTTTACTCGCTATGCCACAGCACCGGCCCCCCCACATAGCATTTTTAATAGAAACATTGAACATGAACTGCATCAAGCATCAGAACCTAACTCTCACCCTACAGGGGATACAGGAGACAGAGATGCCTGTTGAATGGCCCCATTCTAGGGGGAAGCTCTTATTCGACAAAGAAATATCAAGAAGAAAAAGGGAGGGCTGGTGATATAGCAGGTAAAGTTGCTGCCTCCAACATCTGCATCCTGTGTGGGCAGCTTGTTCAAGTCCCAGCTGCTCCACTTCCGATCCAGCTCTCTGCTATGGCCTGGGAAAGCAGTGGAAGATGGCCCAAGTGCTTGGGCCCCTGCACCTGCATGGGAGACCCAGAAGAAGCTCCTGGTTTCTGGCTTCGGATCGGTTCAGCTTTGGCTGTTGTGGTCATTTGGGGAGTGAACCAGCAGATAGAAGACCTCTCTCTCTTTCTCTCTCTCTCTCTCTCTCTCTCTCTCTCTCTCTCTGCCTTCGCCTCTCTGTAACTCTGCCTTTCAAATAAATAAAATAATTCTTTAAAAAAAAGTACAGACATAAAATGACTAAAATACATGCTAGCCAATACAGCAAGTCCCTCTCAAAATAATATGAGCTAATTGAGAGAATTTAAACACTTTGAAGTATTCAGGAATTACTACTAACTTTGTAGAGGTATTAATAGTCCGGGTCTTTTAGAGAAGCGGCCAAGGAATTATTTAAGGAAGAAGTGATTCAATATCTGGAATTGATTAGCAAAGAAAGAGTTGGGGGGCCAAGTTGGTGGAGTAGAAGTGCATCAGGGTTGCTGATGGCTGGAGCTGAGTGCTGTGATGTCTTTTCTCTACAGCTCTTTTGAAAATCATCAAACCAAAGAGTGAAAAAGTTGGAGCTCACATTCACGAAATTTCAGGAGCTTAATGTTGGATCGCCTGGAACGCTATGGCTCCACTGGAACCACTTGGTGTCCACCTGGACTTCCTCTGGACCCCTACTCGTGGTCCTGGTTGACCTGGTTGAAGAAATCCTCTCTTCATGCCGTTGCTGGCTGCCTCCTCATCCTGGCCTTCTTGCCTCCTGGCTGTTTTGCTTGTCGAAAGGTTACTCTTGGAGATTGAACCCCGAATCGCAAACTCTAGCTGTGTGTTCTGTGACCGTGGCAGTAGCAGACACCCCTGACCAGCCTTTCCTTCTCGAATCTCTTCTCTTCCTCGGCTTCCACGATCAGGATGCTCCTGACTGTCCTCTGACCTTGCGATCCAGCCTTAACCAGCCGCTCAGCTCTGTCCGTGCACCCTGGGGAGCAGCTCCTTGGCTTCAGGTTTCAGCTGTCCACCTTCCACTCTTGACTGTGCCACCTGAGAACTGCCACCTGCTTTCCCTGCAACCACCTGCTCTGTGGAAGACTTCTCCATACTACATTTCTAGCCTTGCTCTCCTCCCTAGCTTTTTTTTTTTTTTTTTAAGATTTATTTATTTATTGGAAAGACAGAGAGAGGTCTTCTATCTGCTGGTTCACTCACCAAATGGCCGCAATGGCTGGAGCTGTGCTAATCTGAAGCCAGGAACCAGGACCCAGGAATAACTTCTGGGTCTCCCACGCGAGTGCAGGGTCCCAGGACTTAGGCTATCTTGTACTGCTTTCCCAGGCCATAGCAGAGAGCTGGATCGGAAGTGGAGCAGCTGGGACTCGAACTGGCACCCATATGTGATGCCAGTGCTGCAGGTGGCAGCTTTACCTACTACGCCATAGTGCCAGCCCCCTCCCTAGCTTTTTAGTCTCACCTCTTCAGCTGTTTCACAGGTAGCCCTACTTGGAGGTCCCTTCATTACTCCAAACCCAGTGTTCCTAAAAAACAAATTCCTTTCCTCATCCTTGCTTTCTGTATTTCTCGAGGTTCCATTTTTGTTGTCAGTTTTTTTTAAATGTGCTTGTTTATTTTCATTTTATTTGAAAGGCAGAGAGAGAGACAGACACACAGAGAGAGAGAGACAGAGAGAGAGACAGAGGGAGAGGGAGAGAGGGAGAGAGAGGGAGAGAGAGAGACTTTCCATCTGCTGGTTCACTCCCCAAATGCCTGGAGCAGTCAGAGCTGGGCCAGGCTGAAGCCAGGAGCCAGGAACTTGAGCCTGGATCTTCAAGTAGCCAGCAGGGCCCCACGTTCTTGAGTCATCCTGTGCCACCTCCCAGGATGTGCATTAGCCGGAAGGGGTATGGGAAGTGGAGTAGACTCCAAGCAGCCTCTCCGATCCAGGGTACAGGTGTCCCACATGACATCAAGTGTCCACTGCTCTTGTCCACTCTTTATTCATAATGTCTCATCTCTCACTTGGCTCTCCTTATCCATCCTTACTTCCGACACTCATGTTCAGGTCCTAGGCTTGCCTTCTGGCTGGGTTTCCCAGGGCCTTGTGCTCTGTGGACTGAAGATTCCCTCGTTTTGTTCTGGCTCTCACTTCTCTGAAGCCATCAGACCCTCTTGTTGTCCCTGCCTCTCCACCATTCTCCCTCTGATCTCAAGCATCTAGTTCAGGCTTGGTTCTGACCATGCCAGCCCCACTCTGATCTCTTCATAGGTAACACCTACTCCAAAGAGTCTGATTCTTCCCAGCTCCTTTATCCTGGGCAGGAGCAGAGTTCTACCTGTGTTTCAAGACCAAGTTCACTGGAAGTCATCGATGGGGACCTCATTGTTGCCATAGCATCCTTCCCCTAGTGTTAAGATGGCTCTGAGCTTTAGAGACTTTTAGAGAGTGTGGTCTTAAGACAGAGTTTGAGCTGGTGCTGTGGTGTAGCAGGTAAAGCCACTGCCTGCAGTGTTGGCATCCCGTATGGGTGCCAGTTTGAGTCCCAGCTGCTCTACTTCTGATCCAGCTCTCTGCTGTGGCCTGGGAAAGCAGTAGAAGATGGCCCAAGTCCTTGGGCCCCTGTACCCGCCTGGGAGAACCAGAAGAAGCTCCTGACTCCTGGCTTAGGATCAGCGCAGCTCCGGCCATTGTGGCCAATTGGGGAGTGAACCAGTGGATGGAAGACCTCTCTCTCTCTCTCTGCCTCTCCTTCTCTCTGGAACTCTAACTTTCAAATAAATAAATAAATATTTAAAAAATTCACAGAAAAATAAAATTAAAAAGCAAGTTCATTTTGGTCTCCCCATTTTAAGTCCATACATAGTTTTTTAAAACTTTCCATGAAATTTTTGAAGGTTCCCCCTACCCCTACCTTGTTTATTAGCTCTCCCTAGGATGGAAGCTTCCAGAGACCAAGGTTTTTTCTCTGTTTTATTCGTTGCTGTAAACAGTATGTAGCAGAAAGTAGGCTCCCGGGAGCTATTTGTTAGATAATTGAATGAATGGAACTTATGCTTGGACCTGTCCAGTGTGGCTCACTGGTGGGTAACGGGGGCGTAGCTGGACCAGGCTGTAGCTGGGTCGTTAGGAGCTGCTGTCCAGCCAGCTGGTGCTAACAAGGCTGCTACCTCACCTGCCACAGCAGCCAGTTCTCTGCAGGTTATTGCTATCCTTGGAGCCTTTTCAGCTCAAAGGCTCTTGCTGTTCTTGGGAACCATTTTGACTCAAATCAAAACACATGACTATTTAAATGCCTGCCAGAGGCCGCATCTTTCTATTCGCTGCAACTCTTAATCCTCCTGGGAACCCAAGCACCAACATCTACTATTCCACCTTATCAAGTAAGAAAGCTAGGACCCTGCAGAACTGAGGTCCTTGCTCGAGTCCTGATGGCTTAAAGTGGAAAGACCTCAATTCCAACTCACATCAGCCTGATCCCAAAGGCAGTTATGGTCATCTGACATCCCTGAACCTGCAGTTCCCAGTAGTGGGTAAGGACGGAAGGACAAAGACAAGGCTGGCCTGGCAAGACTGGGAACTATTTACAGGGGAATCTTGTTGCATCTCCCTCCCTTGCCCAGAATTCCGTCTGGGGTGAGGATGAGGAGGTAGATGATGCGTGGATCCTCTATGGTTCTGACCTGTCTTGGGTTTCACCATGATAAATGTTGCTGTTTCACAGATATTTCAACCTCACCATTGCTAAGGGTTAAACCAAACTTCCAAGTGAGCTTCCACAAGCTGTTATGATGTAGTTTGTACTCCCTTGAAATTCTAGTTGTGTATCAGGGAGGGTGCCGGTGTGTGTGTGGGGGGTCACACAGAGCACTGGCAGAATCAAGGGGAGGTGTTTAAATTGTTGGGGCACTTAAGGAGGTTTTGAAGCATGAATAGAAGTTTTCCAGGTAAAAGAAAGGAGAGGAAGGGTATTTCAGGCATAAAAAAAGTGTGCCAATCGTTAGCGCTGAATTCCCTTGCTGTGCCAATGACATTGCTGATGTACTGAACCAGGTGGAAAATGAGATTGTGTTTACCTGATTTGCTTCCTTCTATGTCATAGAGTCAAGGGCAATGCCATGGACTGGGCAGTCACTCAACAAATACTTGTGCATTTGGAACAAATGGCAGCCATCTTTCACTCTCTTGGTTCCCACACTGTCATCCTATTGCCACACCCCTCTTTCTATTTCTGCTCCTACTCCCTGAGCAAGACATTTACCACTAAAACCAGAGTAGTAGCCTCATAAATAATCTCTCCACTTGGTGTCCATGCTCACTGCATTTATCCTACCCACTGTAGTACCCCTTATATTCTTAAGAAGGATTAGAATACTTTTTAAAAAAGATTTTATTTATTTATTTGAGAGGTAGAGTTACAGATAGTGAGAGGGAGATACAGAGAGAAAGGTCTTCCATCTGCTGGCTCACTCCCCAGATGGCCAAAATGGCCGGAGCTGCGCCAATCCAAAGCCAGGAGCCAAGTGCTTCTTCCTGGTATCTCATGCAGGTGCAGGGCCCAAGGACTTGGGCGATCTTCTACTGCTTTCCCAGGCCATAGCAGAGAGCTGGATCGGAAGAGGAGCAGCTGAGACTAGAACTGGCACCCATATGGGGTGCCAGAGCCGCAGGTGGAGGATTAACCTACTGTACCACGGTGCCGACCCCCCTCCTTCAGTTTCATAACTCACATCCCATCTCTGTAAGTCCTCTGCTCCAGCACAACTGAAATAGTTCCACTTCCCAGAGCCCACTTCCTATGTCCTCATCTTTAAGCCTTTTCCTCACATGGTTCCCAGGACATGAAAGAGACCTCCCTGTTGAGATCCTTCCCTGCGTGGAGGCCAACCTTGAGCTCCACAACCTCCAGGAATCGTCTGATCAAGCCCTCCTAACATTATGCATCTTTCTTTGGATATTTGATAGCATTCATCTGGGAATTTAACTCTCCATCCCCATGTTTCTTGCCTGGAGCATTCCTTGGCAAATGGAGGGGATACTGCAAATGAGATCTTCTGAGGATGATATAAGAGAAAGCAGGAGAAATTGTTTTATAAATCAAGAAGTAGTATGAACATTTGAGGTAATATAAAGATGTTGGTGATAGTGGTGATGATGATGATGGAGATGATAATTATGATGAAGATGGTGGTGGTGATGGAGGTAGAGATTATTATGGTGACTGGTGGTGATGATGGTGATGATGAAGATGGTGGTGGTGATGATGGTGATGATGAAGATGGTGCTGATAAAGATGATGATGGTGATGATGATGATTATGGTGGTAGTGGTGATAGTGGACATGGTGATTGTAGTGGTGATAATGGTGATGGTGTTGATGCCAATTGTGGTGAAGGTGGTGGTGGTGACGATGATTGTAATAATGCAGATGGTGATACTGCTGCTGCTAATGATTGTGAATGTGCAGAATGATCATATTTCTACCTCCGTATTTACTCTCTGCCTCTCCCATCATGCTCTGTGCTCTGAGAGGCCAAACCCTGTGGACTACATCAGCTAAGCTTCCATGCTCTTTGGTTGCCTGTTTAGTTCACCCAACAGAAAATGAAAATTCAGAGTGAGAGAAGAGAGTTTGGATATTCAGTCACCTGGCTTTCTCTCTACTGGACCCCTGCTTCAGAGTAGCTGCCCTTGAAACTCACAGTGCAGTCCTGATAGTCCCTCTTCCTTAGTAAGAGTTCTTGCCAGATTCTGGTAGGTACTTCCCACCTTACCCATTCTGCTTAGGGTAGATATGGCTCCCTTTCGCACCAGTCTCACGTCGTGTCACTAACAATTTCCCTTAACTCTTTTCTGACTATATTTTTAAAAACTCTCTACAATTTCCCCTTTTCAGTGTTATCAATTTGCATTTCTTGGTAAGATCTTGACTTATGTAATGACTTATGTGGTGGTGAGAGTGCTCATGTGATTTTTAACCCAGCTGGGAGCCTAAGAATTGTAATAAGCAACTACATGCAGAATGGCTACAGAATTTAGGAAGCAATCAGCCAGGTGCCCATGATATCAGCTGTCTATTGACATATAGCAACTTTCCTCACAATTCAATGTTTTAAACAATAATTTATTATGTCTTATCCTTTTGCAGGTCAGGATTTAAGGAGGCACAGCAGGATGGCCTGTTTCTGCTCCATCACATCTAGGGCCTCCTGTGGAAGGCTTGAAGACTGGAGGCTCATTCAGCTACAGCTTTCCCAGTCGATTCTGGCTGTTGGTCAAGTCCCAAGGGTGAACACTCAGAGACAAAGGAAGAGGGAGCCAGGCTGATGCCAAATTGCCTTTTATAACCTAGACTTGGAGGTCATGTCCCATCTCTTCTACCAGGTTTTTTTGGTTGGAATAGTTGTAAAGGTTTGGTCAGGTGTAAGGGGAGGGGATGGTGCCCTGTCTCTCAAAGGAGCACAGCTGATGTGACGTGGAGAGATTACAGTGATGTAAGCCACTTCCAGACCTATGCAGGAGCTCCATGCATGGTCCAGTCTTTCTTCCTTGGCAGTGGCAACTGCACAGAACACAAAGTAGACAGAATTGTGGAAGTTGACAAAGACCAAAGCCAAGGCATCTGAATCCCTGAGTCAACACCTGGAGGAGAGCCACCTGATCCACATTGACCTTTGTGGGTATAATAACCCAATTCCTAGTGTGTCAGTCTGCTGAGACTCAGTGATTGCTCCAAGAAAAGAATTTTATTCATATCCCCAAATTGTGAAGGAGCCCATGTGTCTCTCTTTCTGGATTCATAGCACTTATTAAGAATCCAAATCTATGAAGAAAGCAGAGGACTAGGGCTAATTCCTTCTTCCTCTTTATAATCTATGAACTACTCTTCACCCCAAAGCTTAGCAGGTCAGCTGACCATGGGGAAGAGGAGGAAGATAATCATGGCACTGGGTCAGCAACCTAGACCAGCCCTACAGCAGAAGAGCGGGTGTGGCCAATGTTGGGTCCTTACTCGAAGGATCTTGGGGACAATGGAGCATGCTTTCTTGGGAATGATTGGCAGATTCGTGTCTGCAGGGGGCCTTACCACACCACAGAAGACATCAGCTGAAGGCAGTAGTCGGCCGGATGTCCGTTCCAATAAAAAGCCTGGGCAAAGTATCTGTAGGGTGATATTTAGAATTGACATTTTCATAAGGATCCGTTCCGTAGAGAGTTTTCCTGGGGCTGGGGGTCCCACATTTTTCATTCTTCCTCCTTCCCACTTTCCATGATTAAACCACGCTCAGAGTGGTAAACGGTGAAAGTGACAAGCTTCAAGGGCAACATTTTTTAAATGCTTCTAATGGAGAAATAATCTCAACAAAATGATTTCAATAATAGTTTAATTGTAATGTCGAAAGACAATATTTCTTTTTTTAAAAGATTTATTTATTTATTTGAAAGACAGAGTTTCACACACACACACACACACACACACACAGAGAGAGAGAGAGAGAGAGAGAGAGAGAGAGAGAGAGGTCCTCCATCTGCTGGTTCACTGCCCAATTGGCTGCGACGGCCGGAGCTGTGCCATTCTGAACCCAGGAGCCAGGAGCTTCTTGCAGGTCTCCCACAGGTGCAGGGGCCCAAGGACTTGGGCCATCTTCCACTGCTTTCCCAGGCCATAGCAGAGAGCTGGATTGGAAGTGGAGCAACCAAGACTCAAACCAGCATCCATACGGGATGCCGGCACTGCAGGCAATGGTTTTACCTGCTATGCCACAGCACCGGCCCTGACATAATTCTATTCAAAACAATATGTTCTTTGTGGCTGTATTTTCTGCTTCCTCCCAGCTAGACTCTTGTTGTGTCTCCCTGGCTGGAAACCCACCAGCAACATCTTGTTCTGTTCTCCTCAAAGGCATCACTTAGGAGACGCCCATCTCTCCTCCTCGGTGATGTTGATTTTAACGACAAAGGGCAGTAACTTTGACGATGACCTTTAAAGGAAGAGGCCTCCTCTGATTAGTAAGAGTGTGATTCTGATTGGTAAGAGTGTGATGTCGGGTGTGATCTTTTTTTTTTCTTGATGGAGTGAAGCAACGTGAAGATATTCTGAGCCCTGCAACTCTGCTTTTGATTTGCACTGTCTGGATGTTGCTGGTCCCCCTTCTCGCCAGGTGAGAAGACCAGGGCAGGACACACAGGTGGCCTACAGCTGGGAAGCCACCTGCAGGAGGCCCTGCCTCCAATGCTAGGCTTTGAGCACTGGCAGCCCTCAATCCCCTGGGGAATTCTTAAAGAAGACTGGTACCTAGGAGACATCCACTGGAGTAGAAGCGACTGCTCACACACCACTGGCACTGCTCCATCAAGGTTTTCACATTCTAATGAGCCTGCAAGAAGACTCATCTGACTTCTAGGGACTCTGGAAAGGGTTGGCTAACCCAGGATCAGGATCAGAAATATCCCGGTCAGCTGGACCTCTACAAAGTGAAATATGAGAGGCCGGCACCATGGCACAGTAGGTTAATCCTCCTCCTGCAGTGCCAGCATCCCATATGGGCGCTGGTTCGAGTCCCAGCTGCTCCTCTTCCAATACAGCTCTCTGCTATGGCCTGGGAAAGCAGCAGAAGATGGCCAAGTGCTTGGACCCCTGCACCTACGTGGGAGACCTGGAAGAAGCTCCTGGCTCCTGCTTCGGATCGGCACAGCTCCGGCTATTGCGGCCCTCTGGGGAGTGAATCAGCAGATGGAAGATCTTTGTCTTTGTCTCTGTCTCTCCCTCTCTCTCTCTCTGTAACCCTACCTCTCAAATAAATAAATAAATAAATAAAAATTAAAAAAAAAATCTGTCAGAAGCAACTGACTAGTTACTTGGTAGAACAGTTGTGAGTAGCAAACACACCTGGTCGCATGGTCTGGATTTACATTTCCCTGGTGACAAATGATGCTGAGTGTCTGTCCCTGTGCTCATTTTTTTTTATAAACGTTGTGAAGTCTATTCAGAATTTTTATTGGGGTGTTCTCTTGTTATTGAGAGTTTTCTCCCTTATTTTTAATCTGTGTTCTAAGGCCTTTATTTATCTGATACATGTTTTGCAAATGTTGAGTCCTCCTCATCTCTGTCTTATCTTTTTCTTTTAAAATATTTTTTAATTTATTTGAAAGGCAGAGTTATAGAGATGAAGAGGCAGAGGCAGACAGAGAAGAAGGTGTCCCACCTGTGGGTTCACTCCTCAAATGGCCACAGTGGCCAGGGCGGGATCAGACCAAAGCCTGGAGCCAGGAGCTTCTTCCAGATCTCCCATGTGGACGGCAGGGTTCCAAGTACTTGGGCCATCTTCCACAGCTTTTCCCGGGCTATTTGCAGGGAGCTGGATCAGAAGTGGAGCAGCTGGGGCTAGAACCTGCTCCCATAGGGTATGCTTAACCTGGTAGTCGACAGCACCGGCCTCATCTTTTTATTTTTCATAATGTCTTTTTTTAAAGATCTATTTATTTATTTGAAAGAGTTACACACAAGAAAAGGGGGGGGGGAGAGAGAGAGAGAGAGAGAGAGGTCTTCCATCCACTGGTTCACTCCCCAATTGGCCACAATGTCCAGAGCTGAGCTGACCCAAAGCCAGGAGCCAGGAGTTTCTTCCGGGTCTTCTACATAGGTTCAGGGGCTCAAGGACTTGGGCCATCTTCTACTGTTTTCCCAGGCTTTAGCAGAGAGCTGGATCGGAAGTGGAGAAGCCAGAACCATACGGGATGCCAGCACTGCAGGCAATGGGTTTACCCACTACACCTTAGCCCTGGCCTCAGGAGACTCCATTTAATTCTGACAGCTTTCATAATTCTTTCACAAGTGTAATTTTGATTAAGCCCAATTTATTGATTTTTTTATGCCTTGTGTTTTTGTAGTCCAACTGAAGAGAAATGTGTCTAGCATTAGGTTACAAAGGTTTTCTCTATTTTCTTCTAGAAGTTTTGTAATTTTACATTTAGGTATGTAATCTATTTTGAGTTTAATTTTTGAATGTGGTGTGAGGTTTGGTAACACTGCTTTTCAGATAAATAGATCTTTTTTAAAAAGTAACAGATCCAGGGCCGGCACTGTGGTGTAGCTGGTAAAGCTGCTGCCTGCAGTTTGGGCATCCCATATGGGCACTGGTTCAAGTCCCAGCTGCTCCACTTCCAAACCAGCTCTCTGCTATGGCCTGGGAAAGCAGTAGAAGATGGCCCAAGTGCTTGGGCCCCTGCACCCGTGTGGGAAGACCCAGAGGAAGCTCCTGGCTTCAGATCAGCCCAGCTTTGCTTGTTGCAGCCAACTGGAGAGTGAATCAGCAGATGGAAAACCTCTCCTCTCTCTCTCTCTCTCAAATAAATAAATCTTTAAATAAAATGCAGAGCCTTCAATGGCAAGTACAAGGCAGAGAAGACCAATGAAGTCTGCCTTAGTTTCTGCGAGACAAACCTGGAAGTTGCAGTGGACTCCATGCTCACGAAGTCCCTACAGCGTATCTGTGCTGTTCAAACCAGAAGATACTGTGGCAACCAGGCCACAGGGGTTACTAACCTTATTGCTTTCCATACTGGCTGATCTGTGCTTGAATTTCTGTTACATTTCACTGTGATTTTTTTTTTTTTTGAAAGAGCACTATGGACAAAATGAAGAAGTCAGAGGATGCCTGTGGTGGGTGTGGCCTGGTGGTGGAGGGCAGGAAGGTGAGGGAGGTGACACCTGAGTCACATTTCTTATGAGCAATAGAAAGGCTTCATCCTTTGCATAGTGCTAAAAACCCTACCCTGACGGCCAAATTGACTTAAAATTCCAATCCTGTGTCACTCTATCTCTGGGACAATCAGTGACTTACTTTTCTGATTTTTTGTTTCCATACCTGCAAAATGTAGATAAAGAAAACTCCCTCTCTTTTAAGTTTTTATTGTGAGTGATTAACATAAGATAATCCATGCCAAAAGCTTAGCTCAATATCTAGCATTTTATATATGCTCTAAAAATGCTAGCTAGGCTTCTTGATTTATTTTTTAAATATTTATTTATTTATTTGAAAGTCAAAGTTACACAGAGAGAGAAGAAGAAGGAGAGAGAGAGAGAGAGACGTCTTCCATCCAATGGTTCACTCCCAAATTGGCTGCAGCAGCTGGAGCTGCTCCGATCTGAAGCCAGGAACCAGGAGATTCTTCCGGGTCTCCCATGTGGGTACAGGGCCCAAGGACTTGGGCCATCTTTCACTGCTTTCCCAGGCCACAGAAGAGAGCTGCATTGGAAGTGGAGCAGCTGGATCTTGAACCGGTGCCCATATGGGAAGCCAACACTGCAGGCAGTGGCTTTACCAGCTGCGCCACAGCGCCAGCTCCAATAATGGCATTTTTAACTGAAAGAAACATGATACATGCGACACCAATGAATTTCCTGGGTCAGCCTGGGGGCTGGAGTCCAAGCAGATGTTTCCAGGGAGGGCTGAGCCCTGAGCTAAGACTGATACTGAAGGAGTCAGCCAACCTGGAGCAGTGTCTGGGATGGTCGGAGAAGGGGTTCCCCAGGAAGCAATCAGCCTGCTTCACAGAGCCCGTGGATGAAGAGCATGGGTTGGAAATAGACTGGTTTTGAACCATTCTGGTCAAGTGATTTGATGCCTTTGAATCCCAGTTGCTTCACTTACAAGGTCTTAAGAATTCTGCCATCACAGGTAGTTGCTATGATAAAAACAAGATGTCTGCATACCTCCTCGTGAGCACCCCATGCTGGCTGTTTTTCTATCCATAGAACTCTAGCACTGCAATGAGTCTGAAGCATAGGATGATGCTGGGGTGGGGCAGGATGGGATGGGGGAAGTTAACAGGGAGAGATGATAAATGGGCTGGGATTAGTTGATCAGGAATGTGGGTGTTATCTCTAAGGCAATGATTAACCAGAGAAAGGTCCTAAGCCCAGAGCACAGCATTTTACAAAGAGCACCTGGGCCCTGCACGGGACAATCAATTGCAGGAGAGCTGAGGGAAGGCAAGGAGGTTGGTTAGGAGATTGAGACAACGGCAGAGAGATCTAGAGCAGAGGACAAAGTGAAGAAGAACAGGCAAGAGGCAGCCTGGTGGGTTTGGTTGGTGGTGAGAGGCAAACGGTTAGTGGAGGGATGGCTGATTCCAGGTGGCAGAATGGATTCTTGGGGAAAGAAAGCGAGTCTATATTCACTATTAGGCAACTGTAGGCCATCTGCACTGAGATGCCTTCTCAGCGCTCAGTAGTCATGTCTGGAGCCTGGAGGATGGGTTTGGGCTGCAGATGCCCCATAGCATCAGGGAAGATGATAGATGATACACAGACTGTTACACAATACCTGCAGGGGAGTGAGATCACCCAGGGACCACACCTTAAGGCACTGCTGGGTATTCATATGCTTTCTTTGAGTGGCTGGCCTTGGGTGCATTACTGTTTTTCAATGAAGATTTATTTATTTATTTGAAAGGCAGAGCGACAGATATAGAGATAGGGGCCAGTGCTGTGGCATAGTAGGTTAAGCCTCCACCTGTGGCGCTGGCATCCCAGATGGGTTCCAGTTCATATCCCAGCTGCTCCACTTCTGATCCATCTCCCTGTTGATCTCCTGGGAAAGCAGTGGAAGATGGCCCAAGTGCTTGGGCCTTTGCATCCATGTGGGAGGCCCAGAGGAAGCTCCTAGCTCCTGGCTTTGGATCAGCCCAACTCCAGCCATTGGAGCCATTTGGGGAGTGACCAGGCAGATGAAAGACCTCTCTCTCTCTCTGTCTTACCCCCTCTCTGTCTGTAACTCTGCCTCTCAAATAAATAAATCTTTAAAAAGAAGAGATAGAGATAGATAGATAGATAGATAGATAGATAGATAGATCTTCATCAGTTGGTTTACTCTTCAAACAACAGCAACAGCCAAGTCTGGGCCAGGACAAAGCTAGGAACCAGGAGCTCCATCTGGATCTACTACCTGGGTGATGGGGTCCCAAGTACCTGGGCCATCTTCCACTGTCTTCCCAGGTGTGTAAACAGGTGTCTGGATTGGAAGCAGAGCAGCTGGGAGTTGAACAGGTGCTCTGCTATGGGATGCTGGCATCATCACAAGCAGTGGTTTAACATTGGCTCCTTGGATGTGTTACTTGACCACTCTCAGCCTCGGTTTCCTGTAAAATGAATGTTAAAGTATTTGTGGCCTGATTTACGTAGAAGTGGTGATTAGAGTGTTCCCTGACATACAGGAAGAACTCGATAATTATTGCCATCAACATCTTTGTAAGAGCGGAGGGAAGAGTCCAGGCAGGAATTGCAGGGGATGGTGGGACCATGGTTAGGGAAGAGTGAGAAGGAATCACACTGAGCGGAGTCTCCCAAGAGAGAGGGAAGGGAGAAAATCTCAAGGACATGGTAATGAGAAGCCAAGAGAGGAGACCCCTTGAAGGTAGCAAAGGCACAGAACAATATCTACCAGGTCAGACATGGAGACCCTTGGAGTCTGATGTGGACAGGAGGCTGGAGGAGGAAATGAAGGTTGAAGGAAAGGAATCAAATGAATGTTTAGCTTAGAAAAGAAAGAGACGATAGGCATATTGAGAAATAAATGAAGCTGTGGTTTAGAGCAAAATACGTTCTCTCATGCCATCCAAGACCACCAATGGGTGCCTGTGTTCTCACTGAAGAGCTGAAACTTGTAGAGGTTGGAAGGCTGGCTGGGGTCACATGGCTGCTAAGAAGGAAATCTGATCTTAGATGGACTTGGCCTTAAACTCTATAAATCCAGTAGGTAGAAGAAGAAAAGGGAGCAGACACGTGCTTGAAATTAGGAAGAGACGTTAGCAGTTGGAGAACCTGCTACTGGACTCAACTGTGTCTCAAAGTAAGGGGAAATGTGAGATCATAGCCTGGGCGAATTGGAGCATGGAGGAAGCTTTATCAATTTTGGAATTGTCTGATTTTCCTATTGAGCCTGGGGTGTAGTGGGAGCTGGAAAATGTGAACTGGCAGACTGCCCATAGAGCAGATCCCTACACTGAGAAGTTGGACCAGACATCTGGGCTCCAAGACCCGTCTCTGATCTAAGCCTTCATGCCTCCTGGAATTCTCCAACAGGAATCATCTCTGATCATTGGAGGTTGGAAAAACAGGTCAAGCTGACACCAGTGGGACAAGAGGGAGGGAAGGAGCAGGGTCAGGGATCAAGGCCAGGAGTCCAGTTCAGGGACAAGAACTGGCAGAGTAGGCGCAGAGCGGAGAAGTGGAGACCCAGCACACAAAGGGGTTGACCCAAAGCATCTAAATTTCAAAAGAAGTCTCCAAGCGGAACAGAGGTGAAGCGCAGCAGAGTTGGCCCTGGGTCAGTGGAGTTCTCTGGCTTTGCTCTGTGGGAGAAAACCAGCCAACAGCATGGACTCTAAGGAGCTGGGCCATATTAGCAATCTCCAGCCACGATCTTGAGTGAGTACAAGGGTTGGGTGCCTGTGATTACTGGGGGAGGAAGTGACAAAAGACACTTGGGGGCCTGAAGCTTTACTCAGCTGACTAAACAAGGCCTTGTTTAGTGCCCTTCAAAATCATTGCAGAAATCCTTTGGAAATCAATGGTTAAAGTCAAGGCATACCATACGATTCAGTGCTCAAGACAACCCAGCAACATTTGAACGAGCATCCCAACTTGATAGAGTATATGCTGATGCTCAGAGAGTGGAGCATCTACAGAGAATCATCAGCTAGGACATGGGGAACTTGGAATTAAGCTCACACTTCTGGGGCCAGGAAAAAAAGAGAGAGGAGCTTCTGAGGTTACAGAACTTCTTGCAATTGTTCTTGGCTCTTCAGTGGTGTCATCATTGATTTAGAAGCATGGAAGTCTTTTGTAAGGCAGAGGAGGTCATTTGGAGGAGAAGATACATTGTGTCTGTGAGATTCCATTCTTTGATTCCAGTGGGATAACCCCAGCACACCTATTCTTATGGCTGGAATCGCTCTCCCCGAAGTCATAGCAAGACGGAATATCATATAGGGAATGATCTGAAGACATGGAATGGTGGTGAAGGGGAGGTGTGTGGGGTGCACATGTATGGGGTACATGTGTGTGTGACTGCTGTGTCATTCTCCTCAAAGGGTCCCCTGGAGACTGGTCCTATGATGAATTTGGCACATTCCTCACAGGAGACAGATCCAGTTCCCCAGGGTGCAGGTGCCTCTCTGGTTGGATTTCCAAGCTTTAGGCCTGCATAGTGACCGCAAGTCCCTGGAGAATGCTTTGTTCTTTTGTCCCTGCCCCCACCAGCCTTTGTTCCTGGCAGAGCTAATTAGGTTCAGTGGTTAATTAGCAGGTCCCAAAGTTAAGGAAAACAATAGCAGCAGCCCAGGTGACTTCCTCTCCCTGCCTCTCCTCTTCTGGGAGCTGGGAACTTGGAGTCTCAGCAACTCCTTCAAGATGTCTTCAATCACACGATGCACAGAATCCTGTCTCCTGTTGAACCCACCTGCTGGCTAAAGCCAACAGCAGCGGCTTCAGAACTGGGCTGGAGAGCTCTGTCTGTGACATCCTTAGCTCTGTGACTCACGGGACACATTGGTGAGAATGTTGCCGGCTTTTCTCTTTCCTGGGAGGTGGACTTTCTCCCTCCATAAGGGTGGAGAAAGCAAGGTGATCAGAGCCTACTTGAGGCCCCATGATAGCATTTCTTTTTGTCATGATGTTCTCATCAAAAGTTCTTCTGTTGGGGCCACGTTCAGAGATGTTGTCAGGTTTCCAAGCTGTGGGCTGCAGTTCTACAAATCAGCAACCTGTAAAGAGGCCCATTGTGATCTATACAGATGAGGGCTCGGCTTTTGTCCACAAGCCGGACTCTGAAGGTCTCCAGGCTAATTTACTGTAGATTCTTGATCACAGGAAATCCTCTTAGATTTTTTTGTTTGTTTCAGTACCTCCTTTTTTATCTTGAGGTTCAAAGGAGTCAACTGGTGTGTCTGAGCTCACAGAGGGTAACTGGGACCCTAGGGCCCTCTCCTTTTTAGCAGGAGCCCAGCTAACCTTGGCCAGATATCAACCACAGCCACACTTGGTGGCTGCAAGGAGCAAACCCATAGGGAACGAATCTGGCTGCTGCCCTTTTGTTTCCTATTCTTCTCCCACCCACATCTCCAGTGTTTGGAGAAAGGGCTGGCCAGAGCCCATGCACCCTCACTCTTCAAAGGTCATAAGGTGTGCCAGTTAAGAGGGAGCTAGGTGGAGGTCAGTATTTCACCACTCACCAGCTGCAAGATCATTGGCTCACTCCAGTGGCCTTTCTGTGCCTTGGTTTGACAATCTGTAAATGGGAATGATGGGGCATAATCACAAGGACACTCTGACATGCATACAATGCCTAGACCTACGAACTGTCACTATTTTAGCCTTTCAAAAAAAAGGCACCAGTGATGCCAAGAAAATTGATCCTTGAGGGTAAAAATGGTGGAGCAAGGGCCTCTGGGGACCCTCCCTCCGATCATGCTTTGGGATTATTTCAAGCTGTTGTACATCACTGTTGGCCACTGGTGAGTCTTCTGTCCCATTTTCTCCTTTCTTCCCCCTTCTGGATTTTTCCCTAAATGTTTTGGCATTTTAAGGTAACAATTAGCCGCTGTGACTGACTAATCAGTTTTGTAATTTTTTAAGATTTATTTATTTATTTGAAAGTCAGAGTTACACAGAGAGAGAAGGAGAAGCAGAGAGAGAGAGAGCCAGAGAGAGAGAGAGGTCTTCCATCTGCTGGTTCACTTCCCAGTTGGCTGCAACGACCAGAGCTGCGCTGATCCGAAGCCAGGAGCCAGGAGTTTCTTCCGGGTCTCCCACAATGGTGCAGGGGCCCAAGGACTTGGGCCATCTTCCACTGCTTTCCCAGGCCATAGCAGAGAGCTGGATCAGAGTGGAGCAGCCGGAACTCGAACCGGTGCTCATATGGGATGCTGGCATTGCAGGCAGCGGCAGCGGCTTTACCCGCTAGGCCACAGCACCGGTCCCAAGATTGTTTTATAAATAATAAATGCTGACAAAATAAATTTGGGAGAAATCTACAGTGTATATCAAAAATTAAAAATAAGGGGGGCAGCATTGGGGTGTAGTAGGTTAAGCCACTGCCTGCAGTGCTGGCATCCTGTATGGGTGCCAGTTGGAGTCTCAGCTGCTCCATTTCCAACCCAGTTCTTTGTTAATGTGCCTGGGAAAGCAGTGAAGATGGCCCAAGTCCTTGGCCTCCTGCACCCATGTGGGAGACCCTGATGGAGTCCCAGATCCTAACTTCAGGTGGCCCCAGCCCTGGCCATTGTGGTCATCTGGGGAGTGAACCAGCGGATGGAACATCTTGCTCTCTGTCCCTCCCTCTCTCTGTAATTCTGCCTTTCAAATAATTAAATGAATCCTAAAAATAAAATAGGCTTACGGGTTGCTTCTGTGCATCCACCTCTGGGAACTCAGGCTTGGAGCATAACCGAATGTGTGAAACGTGTGTTAGATTGAGGTGCCCACCACAGTGTTATTTATAATGAAGAATCTTCTTGGCATAGGATCATAGAGGCTGGCATGTGTTCCAGTGCTTAAGTCCCTGCTTAGGAAGCCTGCATCCTACATCAAAGTGCCTGCTTCAAGTCCCTGCGCCTCCGCTTCCAACCCAGCTTCCTGTTAAGGTGCTTGCCGAGAGGCGGCAGATGATGGCTCTAGTGCTTGCGTCCCTGCCATCCACATGGGAGATCCTGATGGAGTTCCCAGCTCTGCTGTTGCGGGCATTTAGGGAGTGGATCAGCTGGTGGAAGATTGCGCTCGCTCTCTCTCTCTCTCTCTCTCTCTCCTAACCTTTCAAATACAATGAAAATTCATAAATAAGAAACAAAGAAGAGAACAAATCTCAGGTACATCTGTTAAAAAAAAAGAAAAATACAATGGTCAAATTAACTATTCAATGGTCCCTGGAAAGAATACATTAAAGTGATGAGCATAAACATGATGTAGATGGGCTGGTGTTGCGGCACAGCAGGTGACACCACCACCTGTCATGCCGGCATCCCATATGGGCGCTGATTCAAGTCCTGGCTGCTCTACTTCCTGTCAAGCTCCCTGCGAATGCACTGGAAAAGCAATGGAGCATGGCCTAAGTGCCTGGACTCCTGCACCCATGTGGGAGACAGGGATGAAGTTTTAGGCTCCAGGCTTTAGCTTGTCCCACCTTGGCTGTTTGGGCCATTTGCATCAGCAGATTCAAGATTCTCTGTCCCCCATCTCTCTTTGTAAATGTCTTTCAAATAAATCTTTTTAAAAAACTGATATGGAAACTCTATACCTGCTGTAAATTTAAGTGGAAAAAACAAAGGGAAGCAGATTGTTAACGTATTTTGTGATGACCATTTAACAAGTGCAAAAAGAAGAAGAAAAAACACTCAAAGCCTCACAGTAATTGAATTAAAGTATTAAGTTACAAAAATGTCACTTTTTCTGTTAACAAAAAATTTATAGTTCCTATTATTTTAAAAGTGAAAAAGAGGGGCTGGTGCTGTAGCATAGTAGGTTAAGCCTCCACCTGCAGTGCCGGCTCCTATATGGGCACTGGTTCGAGTCCTGGCTGCTCCACTTCCCATCCAGTTTCTGCTATGGCCTGGGAAAGCAGTAGAAGATGGTCCAAGTGCTTGGGCCCCTGCACCCAAGTGGGAGACCTGGAGGAAGCTCCTGGCTTCAGATCAGCACAGATCCAGCCATTACAGTCATTTGGGGAGTGAACCAGTAGCTGGAAGACCTTTCTCTCTTTCTCTCTCTGTAGCTCTACCTCTGTAAAAATATATAAAATCTTTAAAAAATGAAAAAGAAATGCTTCTATTCAGTGATTTTGAAATAAATGAATGTGGAGAGTTATTCTCTGGCCACTTCCTCCGGCAGTGCTGAAATGCCCAGATTGGGTTCAGCCTGGTGAGGTGTTGGATTTCCCAAGCGTCAAGTGCGTTGCTTGCCTCCCTGTGTCTGTTTATGCCTGGGACCTTTGTCATCTCGTTGGGCATAGGCTGGAGCAGGACCAGTGGGGAGAGCCAGGTAGGACCCCAGGATTGTGGGCCAGGTGGCTTGTACTGCTTCCCAGTGCCCAGTTTCTTCATCTATAAAATGCACAATGTAATATCCAGCTTTCATGGGGGCTTACATGAGTTGATTTAGAAGAGTACCACTGCATATCGCCATGGCTTAGGTCTCGGAACTCCTGCCAGATTAGAGTGTATCCTACTTGTGTTGCCTACATCCATTCCATAAACACAGTAGGATTTCAAGAAATATTTCTGCTGCAATCATCAGATTACCCAGGACAGAGTCTAAAGTTCTCAAAAACCTAAGGGAGTCCCTGAGAGCTCTGCTAGACAAGGAGAGACGCTGGGAATTCAAGGACATGAGCAGCCCGGGAGCAGGCAGAGGCAGCGTGCGGCTGCCCTAGAATC